GCTGCGTACTGTGTGGATAACCAGAGTGGTGCATATCCCATATGCTCTCCATATCTGGAGTGGTCCAGTGTGGCATGTGACAGAGTCTGTACTGATCGCTGCAGGTTACCTAATCCCGCTACAACTACCAAGATCTTGTTCCTGCTGCAGGAGAAGCAGGCATACATTCCTTCCATCTGAGAAAAAGGCAGTCTTTATGTAGCATGCCATGGATAGACCGTTCCAAAAGAGATTATCTCGATATTTTTGCGCTGTTATTATCCCTGACTCTAGAGGTTGCCCACATGAAGGAATAAGTGGTGCTTTTCTCTCCCAATGTCCCTAAACTCCACTCTGCAGTGATTTTGCTGAGCCCAGAGTAAGTCCTTTCATAGCCTGATGAAGACCAAACAGAAGAGTGTTGCAGCCACTGCTTCACCACCTTATGCAGCGCAAATGCAGTAAGCTCTAATCCTGCCAATTGTAACACTTATTTTCTGTCACGTAAGAGAGAGATGGATTTGTATTCTTAGCGTGTGTGAGCTATTCAGGTATATGCAGTTGGCTTTGATAAGGTGCCTCACTCTTGACTGGTGTTGAGCTGAACTGTGATGCAGATGATCACTGTGCAAAAGCGTTTTCAAGACAGTACCTCCCTACCCCACTCTTCCTGTATCGTGTGACAGATGGTCCAGAAGCACAGCCTGTGCTTCTTCGCTCTGCTGTCTCAAGCAAATGGAGCTTGGAGCTGTGCTGCTTGAAATTCAAGAAAATGAAAACCACTGATAACGTAGCAATGAAAAAAGACAGATGGTCTGGAGCAACTACAGGAGACTTAGCAGTGTACCAGAGATTGCCTTGGGTTTTACAGCCCCTTTGGTTGGGGGCCAGGCCTCCCTTAGATGATGGGCATTTGATCTCCTCCCCAATGGGGTTATCAGGGAGAGAAGGTGATGATGCATCCTCCAGGATGGAGACATTGCCTTAGAAAATGGTATTTGGTAGTTAGAAAAATCCTGAAGCCGGTAAACAGCATTTATAGAACATCTGTTAGACAAGATACACCATTTAATTTAATTAAGGATACTACTTTACATGTTTCTATTTAGCGAAAATATTGCAGAAGATATTAGAAGTGATTGCTGACAACGTTCCTTACGAAAATGTTGAATTTTTCTGCCAGAAACTGCAACTTCATCACGCTGACATCAAGTCTCTTGAAAATAGCAGGTTAGATACAGATTCTTGCAGCAGAATCTTGTTACTTTTATTTCCCGTTTTCCTTTCCTTTCCATTTTATGAAGTCAATAAACAATATTTTGATTATAAAATTAATGATATGTTTTTGTTAAATACTGAGTAGGTACGTCTATGTAAAGTTCATTAAGTACCTCCAAATCTTAGATTTTTTCAAACATTTCCTCTTCATAACTCTTTTCCTAACAGGGCTGTTAAGCCGGAAGAGAAAATCACTACAGCGCTGAACATTTGGAGAAGTGAAAACCAAGTCCTATCTTCTGCTGAAATGATAGATAAACTAATCAGAATCCTAGTAATGACAGGCATGCATTATCTCATCAACAAAGTGAAAGCTTTAAAACTCTGTTCACAATCAGTAAAATTGTGAGCATGTAATGTACAAAGAGTATTTCTGAAAGGAAAGAAAATTTGTGATGTCAGTTTTTTCCCCCTGAAAGTATTATCACTTTGAGCATACCATATCTTGAGAGAAGCTCAGCCTGTTTCTGAACCACTTTGTAGAATCTTCTGTTTATCTTTTACAAATGGAATATATTCAAAAAAATAAAAAATGTACCTTTTTTGATTTCCAAAGTGAAATAATTTTGTTTAAAAATGTACTTAAAGTGACGTTAAATTGAGTAGAATGCCTTACATCTGTTACATCAAGTTGTTTGTTTCATTGTTGTGATATTCCCCGTTTAAATTCTTGAATAATGATTATGAAGTGAAAAATTTTCCTTCATAGTTTTAGCAGGGTATTCAGAGCAATTTTAGAATGTAGTTTGAAGCTATATGAAGATACAGGAGGCATCCTGAAAATATACAGAGCTCAGAGCACAGAGCTCCAACAGTTATCTTTCTGGCTTACCTGAAAGCAGTACATAAGCATCAGGAAGAAACACGCCATTTCCCAGTGACCGCAAAATATGGGAAATGTGTTTAGAAACAGGGAGCTTAGGTGTCTACCGTGTCTACCGATAAAGCACGTGGCATCAATGGAAACACCTACACTGCTACATAAGAGAGCAAGGGCGTGAGCTCAAGCACTGAGTTGTCCTTACTACCTGACTTGACTTGGCATCTGGCTCTGCTTTGGGCTGTGCCAGAGCCCTCTCCAAGACAAAGCTGGCATGGTTCTGAGGACAATCCGCTTCAGAAACAACTTCCAAAAAACAATATAGATGATACTGCAAGGCGTTGGCTCTCCCCACCCTGCGCCATCTTCTGTCACTATCCGTGCAAGTCTTTAATCATAAACATTCCCATATTCCCTCTTGTGGTGCTCTGGGCCGTGCAATGCACATGCTCCGTTTCACATTGTAAGAGCACCATTCAGGTGGTGTGGAACACAGTAAATTACTACAGACATTTTGAAGTGGAAAAAAATATTACTTTATGGTCGCAGGGGTACCCCAGGTGGTGCAGACGAGACCCACTAGGTTCATGTGCTATGTTGTAGATTCGGCCAGTCTGGTGTACAGGGGGCGCGTGCAGGCCCTACGTGCAGTGGAGGCAACTCGATTCATACTGCTTGGCCTCAAGCCTAGGGATCCGAACGGGCCTCGCTCTCGTTTAGCAGTTTGGAAATGGCCGATGATGCTCTAGGCACTGTCTTGCGCAGACGTGCTCAGCCACTGGAGTCTTTTTGAACGCTGCACCATGAGAACTGAAACTAGGTAAGGCTTCAGGCTGAGCGACGCTGAAGACGCACACCCATAGCGCCAGCAAAGGCATAACTGTGTCACAGCTAGACATACCCACCCGTACTAGCTTTATTCTAGCTACTTTAGATAGCAATGAAGAAGTGTTAAAACAGACTTCAGGCTTGGCTAGCAGCCCATGAGAGCAACCTGTGAGCCTGATGTTCTGCCTTCACAGTAAGTAGTAATTACTGGTAATCATTAATAGTAATTAGTAGTAATCCTGCAGCTGTGCAGACTATAGGGAGGAGCTGAACGAGGCGGGTACACTTCTGGTTGTCTCGAGGGCATTTCAGCTGACTGAAGAAAACATCGGCGAAGGCGTTCAGGAGAGCTGCGGTGTGGGAGAGGAGTTTCTGGTGTGCTGCTGTCTGTGCCGAGGTCAGCCTTTGGTTTGGAGGCACGCAGCGCGCCCGGCAGTTCAGCCCGCGTGCTCGCCTTGACTTGCTTCACATGCTGGTTTTCGTGCGCAGCAACTGGGTTCCTTTCAGAGCAGACTAACCTAGAAGCGCTGCTGGGAACGTGAACCAAACGCGCACCAATCACAACGGGAACACGGGCATCCAAACCACGGGACAGGC